GCAAACCTCAGCGCCATCCTCAGTTCGTCACCATGATCCCGTCGCCGCCCAACTCCACGCACAGATTCAGAGGTTCTCCTTCAACCCCAAATCCCCAATCGCAGCCATTGCCGTTGGATCCCGTCGCCGCCTAGCTCCACGCACATGTCAGATTCGATTGACCCCCTTTTTGTTTCTTCCAAACTTATCCCCTTACGCTTTTGTACAAGAACTTCTTCCCACCTCTCGCAATCTATTTCTGCCTCTCCCCCGAACCCTCAAATATGAAATTGTCAATATGAATCTTCCTCTGTCAATCTGGATTATGTTTGGGCAGTAGATTTCGGTAGACAAAAATATTCCGAAGGAGACTAAATCAAGCTGCAAAAGTCACCAGCTTAACTTCCCATATGCTTATGGCCATCATCGTAATAATTGATTTGGATTTTAATTATTTCAGGAAGTCGGCTGCTTATCTGCTAGATGGCTAGCAACTCTTCACAATCTGATGCAATATCACCTGCAGCCATGGAGCAAAATTCAACTACTGCTCCCACCCAAGCAACTTCTATACCAACAACGAATTCAACCCCCCTGTTGTTCCTGTTGTTGGTAATGCTGCCAATAATCCTCCTACTAACCAAGGTGATGTTGTAATGAGTGAAGGAGCTGATAGTGATCTGCCTAGTAATAGGTTTAAGAGTGATGCTTGGAAACACTTCACAAGGTATCAAGAAGGTGAAGAGATAAAAGCTAAATGTCATTATTGCAAGAAATCTTTGAAGGCAGGTTCAAAAAATGGTACTAGTCATCTCCTTGAGATTATAAAAGATACCATAAGTTGAATAAGGATATTAGACAACCATTGTTAGTGAAGAATGTGACGGGTCAAATGTATCAGAATTCACTTGGAAACTTCAGTGAGAAAGAGGCACGTAAAACTTTGGCTTCCATGATTGTGGTGCCTGAGCATCCTCTTGCTATAGTGGATCATTTCTTCTTTAGGAAGCTATTGTGTATTCTTTAACCATTTTTCAAGTGTCCAACTTGAAACACTATCAAGAGCGACATCTTGAAACTGTTTAAGAGTGAGAAGACAGATTTGAAGAAGTTGATTGCAGCTAATGATAGTCGTGTCGCAATTACTAGTGATATATGGACTGCAAGCAATCAAAAAAAGGGATACATGGCAGTTACAGCTCATTTCATTGATGCATCATGGAAGATTAGATGTTTTATTATTAGGTATGTTTTATTTCTCAAATGAAGTTTATTTCAAATGCATAAGAAAACATTTAATATACTAAAATTTTCCTTTATAATTTTTGCTAGGTTCTGCTATGTGCCATGTCTACACACTAGTGAGGTTCTTGCATAGGCAATCTACAAGATTTTGATGGAGTGGAACTTCGACAGAAAGCTATCTACTGTAACTTTGGATAACTGCTTAACTAATGATCTTCTTATGAAGATGCTAAAAGATAAGTTGAATCCTCGCCATTTAATGAGATCTGGATGTTTGCTGCATATGCGGTGTTGTGCACATGTGTTGAATTTGATTGTGAAGGATGGTCTTGATGTGATTAAGAAAAGTGTAGAGAATGTTTGTGAAAGTGTATCTTTCAGGACTGCAACACCAAAAGGGATTGAAAAGTTTGAAAAAGCAGCAAGTCAATTGCCTATCAATTTTGACAAGAAGTTGCGTCTTTATTGTCCAACTAGGTGGAACTCCACTTACTTAATGCTTAAAACTGCATTGAAGTATAAGGATGTTTTTCCTAGGTTGAAACATAGGGATGCAAAGTATAAGAAGGTGCCTAGTGAGGGTGATTGGTCTTTGGCCAAAGAAGTTTGTCTGAAGTAGCAATTGTTTTATGAGGTGACTGAGTTGTTCTCAGGATCACAATATCCTACTGCCAACTTGTTTTTTCACAAGATTTGTGATATCAAAGTGGGTTTATCAAAGTGGGCATCAAGTGATGATCCTTTTGTGTTTGAGATGTCTGCAAAGATGGTTGAAAAGTTTGATAAATATTGGGGGGCAAGTCATGGTATGTTGAGTGTGGCTGCTGTTCTTGATCCACGATACAAAATGACATTGTTGAACTTTTACTATCCAATGGTATTTGGGTCCAAATCTAGTGATGAAATCAAGAAAGTACGTGACTTGCTAGCTGATTTAGTCCATGACTATCAAATGAGGGTTGATGCAAATAAAGAGGGTTCTGGTTGTTCACTTGTTGGTTCTACTTCGGATGGAGCAAGTGCAGGGAGGATGAGTGAGTATGACTTGTTTGTGGAACAACTTCTTTCACAAAGTCTGGGTGGCAAAAGTGAGTTGGATTCTTATCTTGAGGAGAAAGTTCTACACAGAAGTCCTGAATTTGATATCTTGCGTTGGTGGAAAGCAAATGCATCTAAGTATCCTACATTGGCTTTGATTGCAAGAGATGTGCTTGCTATTCCTGTGTCTACAGTTGCTTCTGAATCTGCATTTAGTGCTGGTGGTAGATTGATTAGCTCTCAGCGAAGTAGACTTTATACAAAAACAGTTGAAGCCCTTATGTGCACTCAAAGTTGGCTATTGAACCATATTGATGAGAAAGGTAATTTCATACTACTTATTAAAAGGTCTCTTAATATCGTTACTATTGTTTTCATTCATTTCAATAAATGGTTTCTATTTTGTAGAGGATCTTTCTAAACTACCTTCACACAGTTTGGCTACTGTTAATGAAGACGAGGATCCGGCTTTGATTGGAGCCTTAGCTGGTAATGTTTCAAGATGTGTATTGCCTATTTACATAATGTGACTTTAATTGTATATAAATCTATTTTGTTTTGTTGTAGGTCTTGCACTTGATTCAGATGCTGATTCTGAAGATGAACGATGTCCAAATTTGTCTTGAGTTTAAAGTATGACCACATATGGACTATTTCTTAGTGCTTTGTTTTCAATTAATCTTTTCATATATCTCGTGCTTGATGATTTATTTTGTGTTTATAGGTATGGAGAAATGAAGAAGGGATTTATGTAATGCTTTTGGGAGAGGCAATGCGACTTTGTGTGTTTGAAGTAGTCTAGTAGACTTTGATCTTTTAGAAACAATTAAACAAAGGATTAGATGTTTTTCATATTACGAATGATTGTACCTTATTGATTTCATAATTTATTTGGTTGTTTTAGTGTTATAATTGAAGAATGTATGTTGTTTATAGGTGTAGAAGTAATACATACATGGGGATGAGTATTACCCATGGGTACCCGAAACCCGCGGGTATGGGGATGGGTATGCAAATCCTCCGCCGCATGGGTATGGGGATGGGTATTTGGAAATGGGGATGGTTTAGGCAAACCTACCCCATTTCCATCCCTAGCTATACTACACATTAGTAGGTGGTTTCACTTGGCCACTTTCTAGTGTGACAGTACAAGCGAGTCAACTAGCCCCCATACATGACTCATAATAAATATGGTGGATGCATGTACATTGGTAAATGAATTAGAAGATGCATGCATGTACCTACATCCTTCTAGAATATTCTAGAATCTTTCTGTGACATTCTCCTCACCAAATTCATGACGTCCTCGTCAAGGCGCCTTCTTCGCATCGGTGTCATTTTGGTGTGGTGATGATGTGCTTGATGGCGAGTCAAGGGTGGTCCTGGCTCATGCACAAATCTCATGGCCCCAAGATGTAGTTCCCTTTTTTTCGTTGCCCGTCGAGACTTCGAGTTTCCCACCCGCTCCATTTTGGTCCTTGCTTTTGAGGTCGCGACTTGCATTGTCGAGCACGCCTTTAGAGCTCTGGGTGTCTCTCTCAATAGTGGAACCTTGCATAACTTTTCTCCTTCGAAGATGAGCATCAAATTATGGAAGGGAATCCAAGAAGCTTTCTTCTCGTCCATAAAGTCTATGTCGATGACGACCGGGTAATCGTCCATCGACACCACATGAAAGTCCGTCTCTCCCACCCAATCATCAAGGGTGATCCGCACCTTGCGAGCAACTCCATGTGTTGGTGTGACTTTTGAAGTCACCTTCATTGCGCCTAACAACTTTAGGCCGCCCAATTTTGAAGTTTGGCCCTCCACTTTTGGAGCCTCCTCCTCCTCTTCCGAGTTTTCTTCCACGAGCATCGCGGCTAACTTACTCATCTTGGGATAATCTCTTACACGATGTGGATCATCACAAAGAAAACAAGAAATAGGTTTATCAACCATTCTCCCCTTACCTCCTTTGTTTGAGTCACCATGTTGTTGTGCCCTCTTGCTCTCGTTGGAGTAGTTGTCATGGTCTCTCCCACCATTGTTGATGAATGCTTCTTGCTCTTTCGGCCACTGATACTCGACAATCGCCATTGCCGAGGCAAGATCTTGCATACCTCGTCGTTGTAGCTTCAACCTCGCCCATGGTGCAACCGTAACAAAATGGAAACAAGGCCTCCTTGTTTGGATAATTCGGGATCTCAAGTAACAACTCTGAGAATTCTTTGACATACTCACGAATCCTGTCGGTGTGGGTGAGTTGTCGTAGTTTCGCATGAGCCTCCATTTCCACATTCTTTGGATAAAATTGATTCTTGATGTCCCTTCGAAAATCTTCGCATGTGTTCATCTCACGTGTGCCTCTGTCAATGTCTCCTTGACGTCTTCTCCACCATACCATGGTCGTATCGACCAAGTAAAGTGAGGCGGTGCGCATCATAGCCTCGTTGTCGTTGATGCCCGAATCCTTGAAATATTGCTCAAGAATCCATAGGAAATTTTCCAATTCCCTCGCGTTCCTCGGCCCCCTAAATTCTTTGGCCTTGGAACATCCATTCGTGGGGTAGATTGAATCGTGGCAGTTTCGTTAGCCATGGCTCGCTTGACGAGATTGAGCTCTCCTCGAATCTCGTCAAACTCCTCGTTCATGTTGGTCACCTCTGCCTGAACGATCTCCTTCAAAGAGTCGATGGCATTGGTGATGATGGTTAGAAACTCATTTCGAAAAGATTCAAACCCCACCTCAAACTCCGTCATTCGAGCGCCACACCTTGCACGTCTACCTTCAAACTTCCCACACTTTCCTCCAAGGTTTGCACCTCCTCGCAGACTTGAGTGATGTATGTCTCCACATCTTCAAACATAACGATGTGGTAAGCAACCTTCGTCTCTGCCTTTGAGAGCCTCTCCTCGAGAGCAGCCAGGGTGCTCACGAGTAGATTTGTAGCTCTTAGGCTTGGTTGAGTCTTTCTTGGGCTCGTGTCCTTGTTGCTCCTCATTAACAACTTCGAACATGGATCCAACCATCTTCTCGAGGTTCTTTCTCACTTGATGAGTCATGAACTAGGCTCTGATACCACTTTTCACGGACCAACTCTTGACCATGCGGTACTTATCACTCAAGTCTTGTTAGAGCAATAAGTCAGCCTAGCTCGAATTCACTCAAACACACAAGTTGTGAGAAAACTCTATAGATGAAAAGCTCTCAATTTTTGGATGAATGACAAATTAGGGAGAGGGCTGCTTATTTAGGCATCCTCTCCACTAAATACAGTTCATGTAGGTCATCATTAATGAATGAACCTATAAGTCCCCCATACATGAACTAGCCTCATACATGAATCATAATAAATATGGTGGATGCATGTATATTGGTACATGAATCAGAAGATGCATGCATGTACCTACATCCTTCTAGAGAATTCTAGAATCTTCCCGTGACAGCGCCGACTGAGGCCCTTGAGCACTTGTTCCTAAATTGTAGAATGACTCATGAGGTTTGGGAAGCTGCTGGCATGATGTAGACTCGGTATGACCTTCTAGAGATTAATTTCACACTATTCTTTCGTCGGTGGGTGGAACGCCATGGTGCTCTGAATAAGATCCCGTCTTTTGTCTCCCTCCTTTGGTGCATTTGGGAGTCTTGTAACTGAGCCACGTTTGATGGCATCCAATATACGATTACAGTTCTTCCACGTCAGTATTATTTGTCGGTTTATGAATGGCGGGACTTGGAGGCTGCGAACCAGGGGCACCCGACACCTGTCTGAATGCTGCGAGAGCCTCCTCGACAAACTTCTTTCTGGCTCCTCTGTCGGATCGATGGTGCTATACAGTCTGGCTCCCACGGTGCGTCGGGTATGGTGGTATTTGATAGGGCGGGGATGGCCGTTTTGCGTTGGGTTTTCGCTATGTAGGGCTGTTGATCCTTACGTTGTGGAGCTCGTATCATTAAGGAATGTGGTTTGATTGTGTACAACCCATGGCTTACAAGACGTGGAATTCCAAGTGGCTACGCAGGTTGTGATGGATAAGATTTGTGGTAATGTCACGGTGGATGTTCTTGGAGGGGCAATTCTCTAGGAGATTTGTGGTTGGAAGCAGCAAATGTCTGATTTCTCATTCCGTTTTATAGGTAGGCAATGCAATTGGGTAGCCCATTTGGTGGCTAAGAAAACTCTGTCATTGTGTCCTATTAGTATTTTCTCTGTTTTCATAACTACACCGGAGACTGAACCGGAAAAGTTAGTGGTTTAGGGTTCAGTGGTGAACCGTTACAAAACCGTTGGTGAACTGTTGATAGAACCGTTCATGATATATAACATATAAGACTTGTATATTACACTAATTTAAGAATGAAGTTATCATTCACCATAAACAATTTCCAATTCATATCATCACCAAAATATCTAATAAATCATTCAAACCTTCTCACAAAAAAATCATAATTTTTTTAATTCAAATTAAAAATTATGGCGCCATTCGATAGTGGAGAACGTAGAGTCGACAGCAAGGTTGAAAAATGAGAAGAGGAAGCGTATATAAAATTAATAATTATAGTTTGATGGTATTAGTTTAAGTTAAAGTTTTTTTTTGTGCTTATAATAGTGAACCAGTGGACCAGTTAAACCGTGATGGTTCAACTGATTTTTTATTGAACCGTGAAAAACCGTTTGGTCCATTAATAACCGTTCAAGCAATGAACTGGAATGCTATCGTAACTAGTTTGGTGATTCTGCTGGCCCGACCATTGATCCGTTTCAGTTCTTATAACAATGAGTATTTCAGGCTTTGATTTACGCGCTTGGGCGATGTAGGTGTTGTAAAACTTCATATTTGTCATCTTGGTAATGCAACTGCAAGTGACTTATTGACAAAAAAAATGATTTGGTCTAGGAGTTTATTTATTTATTTGATATTTAGAAATAATTGACAAGGGTGGAGGAAGTATGATGGGGAAATTTAAATAATTAATTTTTATTTGTAGTGTTGTTATAACTGCTATATCACAAGTTTAACGGTCAAATTTGAATTTGACTGTCGCATATGACAAATTTCACGAATCAAACGGTGAGTGACCACTGACCAACGATGAAATAAGATGTTAAAGTCAGTGACCATTAAGAAAGGAAAAAATTTCGAGTGACAAACTTGGAACAAATTAATAAACTGAGTGACCAAACTTGAAATTGACCCCTATCTAAGATAATCAATTAGTCATAGCATTATGGTGATCAAACCCGAAAAAGTTAATCTGCTAACTTGAAGATCGTTAGCAGATACTAACTGATATCCAAAATAAATGAACTAGTATCCAAGTACTAAAGTATTTAGAGAGCACATACTAGTATTCAAGGTTTGCTAACTGATATCCACCATGAATCAACTATTATCCCAAATTCACAAACTAATATCTAAACAACACAGAATAGTATCCATACAACACATAATTAGTATCCAGATAACACATAATTAGTATCCAGATAACACATAAGAGTATTCAGATAACACATAAGAGTATCCATATTGAATATTAGTTGGTTTGATTGTCTATATTAGTTGGTAATTGATTGGCTGCATACTAATTATGTGAGCTGGATACTAGTTTTATGATATTTTGAATACTAGTCTATGCTATCAAGATATACTTTATTACTTTTTCATAAAATCAGCAAACTTGATATTAGTTCATACATTTTGGATGTTAATATTAACAACTTATACCGTTAGCCGAATAACAGGGGATCAAATCCGGGACACCGCAACCCATACAACCATATTCAACCATTATCGGACACAACTGGTTCGGAAGCCCCGGTATGAACCCGCAATCAATGACACAATAATTCATAGGCCATCCAACGACAGCTGTTTTTGGAGAACATGTGAAAATTAGGGATTTCATATAACCAATTTTTTTTTTTTTTTTGTAGAATATCATTTTGTAATATTGAAACCAAATCAAACCATCATTTTCGTAGTAGGAGTTCAATACGTAGCATGCCAGATAACACATAATCCAATTTAAACCACCATTGGTACTGCAAATTCAATACATAAACACTCAATACTAAAACGAAAATGCAAAGTTAATAATTATTTGCGGGACACCTTCGTCTCGTCCTACAATCTCCACTTTCACACAAAGGAAATGAGTACTTGAAAGCAAACTCTGCCCGGTGGAATAATCAACCATGAACACACAAACCCTAAATATTAGAATAAATAAAAGTTAGTAATCATTGCGGGGACAACTCCAGATACCATCTCCACTTTCTCCCAAGGAAATGAGTACTGCAAAAGAAACTCTGCCCCATGTAATAATCAAAGACAGCAGCACACACAATAGAATTTATCAAGCATGTCTTCCACTCTCTCTAATGGCTTCCATCGCTTCTTTAGATCTCGACAATCTTCAGCACTTGATTTCTCACCAAGACATGCAACCAATCCATATAAACAATCAATTTTGCAAACGAATCTTTCTAGTTTGACTATCCCTCTCAACTTCAGTATCTCCGAGTATAGGTGTCAATCGGGCGGGTTCGGGTTCAGTTGGGTCGCGGGTTAATCGGGTTGCGGGTCAAGCGGGTTGTGGGTTGATCGGGTTGCGGGTTGATCGGGTTACGGGCAAATCGGGTTCGGGTTGATCGGGTTGCGGATCAATCGGGTTCGGGTTGATCGGATTGCGGGTTACAACAGGTCGGGTTGCAGGTTGTTCGGTCCAAACCATCGAGTTTTTTTTTATAATTAGTTATTACACTAATTTAAAACAAACTCACCGATCACCATATTGCAATGAAAAAAACATGAATGTACATTATTAAACAAATGAGTGACTAGATTTTGCTTGAATATATCATAAACAAGTTTGATGTTGCAGAGGATTCATTAAGGTTACAAAACCAACATAAGAAATTAAAAAGCTGACAACTTGTTTGATCATAAACCTATGAAACAATCTCTTGAGTCTTGATAGTTGAGACTTAGGTAACCAATTCGTGGAGCGGGAGCGAGAGCGGAAGTGGGTGCGAGAGTGCGAGAGCGTCTATTTCTCAAAGCCTTGATAATAAGAGCGTGATGATAGCGTCGTTTTTATACTAAATTAATAATTTTAAGTAATAAAATATTGTCACTATAGGAGCAAAATCATACGAGTGTTTCAGAACTTTTCACTGATGTTTCTAGTTCAAAAGGTTTCAATGTGGAAATGTTTAGGGTCATTTGTGTGAACCTTAATTTATTTCGTACAGAAAACTTGTTGAATATTTGAACTAGTTAATGTTTTATTTAAGATAAATAAGAAGAGTCCCTTTTAGTTGTATACTTGTATTATTATCTAATTTCTCGCTATTATTTTTTTAATTCTTAATATTCTAAATTTTAATAGGACGTGCCGACGTGGTAGTCTAATGACCCGCACAAGACCTAATTAACCCTACCACTCTTACCTTTTCCTTTTCCTCTGTTCTTTATCTTATCTTTCCCCTGTTCAATTTCGCTTCCATCTTCCGCCGCTCCATTCATTTCAATCTATGTTATCTCTACATCTATGTTTAATTCAAGTTTGTGATTTTCTTTCCATTCCCTCCTACGGTCTCCCTCTCGGAGTTCACTGGCTCTCCAACGACGGCACAAGGCTTTCATCGATGGTGATTTGAAATGACGGAACTCTTAATTTACTGTTTCCTTAGATTAGATCTCATCAATTATAGTCTGGAGTTGTGAAAATCTGGTGTTCCATTAGTTGGATGGTCTTCCGATCTCATAGATGGTGATTTCATGTTGTCTGAAGTTTTTCAATAGTTGCATGTTCTTCTTTCGCCAATTGAATAGATGGTAATTGCATGTTCAAACCTAAATGCTTTGTTCATCCATCTATCAGTTTGCCAACAATAGAATGGAAAGGGATATATATTGCTGACAATTCCTGGACTCTGTCCGGATTGTTCTCTTACCCCGAAGGCTGGAGTAGCCTCCATCCCCAAAAATGCAACTTCCTCAAACTCCTCTGGCTCCTTTTTTTTTTTTTTATGAAGATGAAAATTAAATTAAACAAAGAACAAAAGGGCAGATCTGAACCTGAAAAATAAAGAAAAACCAGCCGAGACAAAGGCCATGAGAAACAAGAAGGAGAGAACCGAAAAGAATTACATGGCGAGGGAAACCCGGAGCCGGCGGCTGAGACGAGGGAAGCTGGGATTGGACTTGACTTCTAGGGTTTGGCCTCTTCCGCCTCAACCACGCAGCCTAGCGACTCTCTGCTTTCGTGTCGTCCTCTGCTGCTTCCTCTACTTCTTGTTCTTCTTCTGCTTCCTCGAGTCACGATTTCAACCACGATTCCGTCAATAACAACAACGACGACGACAACAAGGCGGCGGAGAGGAAGGGGAAGGAGAAGAATCGCGTGGGGCACGGACACCACCGGAGCGCGATGGCCGATTGAGAGTGAAAGGGAGGGTTTTTTTCTTTACCGATTGAGAGAGAATGCGCAGAAAAGGATAAACGAAAGGGAAGAGAAGAGTACAAGACCGATTCTTTTCCCTTCTCATGATTAAAAAAAGAAAAAATATTGTTAATAATATATATTTTTTGGTCACGGAAAATTAGGCTGGGATGGGAGGGAATTTACAAATTTGGATCAAATATTGGGGGAGGTGGCCATGTGGGAGGGAATTTTCAATTTTGGATCAAATATTGGGGGAGGGGGCTTATGGGAGGGATTTTTTTTAAAAAATGGGTTTGCAAGGGAATTTTTGAGCAAAAATTTGGGGTGTTTTGAATTTTGCATTCAAAAAATTTCCCTCAACATCTAGTTCTTCCTTTCTTTGATATTTAATTATATATTATTATAAATGATAAATTTTATACTGATTAACTAGTTTTTTGTTCGATCCGTTGGTCGGAATGTCATTTGAATATGATATATTTAAGATGTACATTCACAAGTTAAATTAATTATTAAAATCAAATTAATTATTAAACTATAAAAACCAAAATCTCTCTCATAATTCATAAAGCATAACCATGAAAAAACCCTAAACCCTAACTCTACAACACCATTTTAAATCTGAAACCTAAAACTAACCTTAACCATCTACCATACACTATCCTAAATCACAACATTAAGTAATTAATCCTAAAACTAACCTCAACCCTTAACCATAAGTCCATAACCCGAACATGCAAACACTGAACTATAAACCATGACCCTATACCCTATACTATAGTTATATGTTATGAAATTGTTAGTATAAGTTATAACGTATGTTATGTGAAGAATGCAAGTTGAGTTAATTTTATATTCGGTTATCGAGAAGAACATACGTCCTATGACTCCAAACTCTAAACTATGAGTCCTCTACCGTATACCCTATACACTAACCTTAAACCATGAATTATAGTTATGTGTTATGAAATTGTTGGTATAAAGTATAAACTATAACGCATGTTATGTGAATAATGTTAGTTAAGTCAATTTTGTATTCAGTTATTGAGAAGAACATACATCCTAATCCTCCAAACTCTAAACCACGAGTCCACTACCGTATTTCGTATACCCTATACGTTAAGTGAATTTTTTGTTTTTTTTTCATAAAATAAATTTTAAGGATAGCCTTACACTCTTACTAAGTTGTGAACCATTAATTACAAGATAACTTTTTATTTTAAAATTCAGTTAACAAATTGTTAAAAAAATATGTCTCTGCTAGGCTTTGAACCGTGTACCTTGAATTAGAAAGACCATCACAGGAAAAAACTAGTACACGTAATTAACTTGTTACAATATAATGTGAACGTGTTGTCCACTTGGTTCAACTAAAAGGCAGAGAGACTTATCTACATATAATATTTATGCACCAAAATATATTATGTAGTATTATTCGTGCTAATCGGGCGGGTTCGGGTTGGGTTAATCGGGTTCGAGTTAGTCGGGTTACGGGTCAAGCGGGTTACGGGTCAAGCGGGTTGCGTGTCAAGCGGGTTACGGGTCGGGCGGGTTGCGGAACTTTGACTTTTAGTCCAATCGGGTTGCGGGCAGGTCACGGATCGGGTTGGTTGGCCGGGTTACTCGGGTCGGGTCATGTTTTGACACCTATATCTCCGAGATGAAATTCCAAAATACATATGTTTAAAAAAAATCTCAAAATACACACGATATAAAAAAATTTCCCAAAATACACATATTTGGGCATCAGCGCGGTTGACGGCCGCGGTGAATGACTAACGTAACACTGAAACTTTAAACAAACGTAACTTTGAGCTCGGTTATCCGATTGTAGCAAACAAAAAATTTTGATTTCGTAGAACTTTTCAAGATCTTTCAATCTGCAACAAGAGGTAATCTAAAAAAAATGTCGTTACTACCTCGAACGAGCAATTTTTTTATTTTGCCAAACTTTGGAAGGCCATAACTTTTAGCTCCTCAATCCGAACGTTGTAAAGTTTTTTTTTATTGCGCCTAAATTTTTAAGAACTTCAACTTTTACTAGGAAAGAATTTTTTAAAAAAGAAATGAGAAATTTTACAATGCTATATAGTATTGGTGCTATAGGTTTTTGCTTTTATGGTACAACTTAAAACTGTACATTTACGTAATGGTACAACTTCAGATTGTACCTATACTTTTGGTACAAATTTTTTTATGGTACAACTTGAACTGGTACCTTTATGTGATGGTACAACTTCAAGTTGTAAAGTTGTACCATAACATAATGATATAAATTGCTTTATGGTACAACCTAAACTTATACATTTAATGTTATGGTACAACTTTAAGTTGTACATTAAAGCACCAATGCTATATAGCACAGTAGAAGTGCTCAAAAGAAATATTTTTGGATATACGGGATTTTGGCAATAACTTTGCCTTTACTTTTCACAAATCCACATACTTTCCAAAATTATGGTTATAATCAAAGTTGTAGTCCTTCAAAAGTTATACGAAATCAAAAAGAGTTTCATGACATTCGGATTGTGGAGCACAAAGTTATGGTCTTTCAAAGTTTGTCAAAATCGAAAAATTGCTTGTTCGGGGTAGCAAACGAATATTTTTTGGATGAAGGCTTGTTTCAGATTGAAAGATCCTGAAAAGTTACGTGGAATAAAAAAAATCGCTACAATTGGATAACCGAGCGCAAAGTTACGTTTGTTTGAAGTTTCAGTGTTACGTTAGGCATTCACCGCGGCCGTTAACCGCGGTGATGCATTCACCGCTTTGGTCTGCCGCGGTGAAACATGTGTTTGTGAATTTTTTTTATAACGTGTGTATTTTGGGAATTTTTAAACATGTGTATTTTAGGATTTTTTCCGAACTTTTGAGTAAGGGTTACCAAGTATTAATGTGTCTTTGTAGTGCTGTTTATGTGACTCGGGATCAGGCAATAGATAGAAATGAGTGATAACAGCCATCCTTCAAATCCTCCATACAACAACAGCACGTCCTCCCCAAATCGTGTATTGTCCATAAGGTTGTCAAACCGCGGGTTGATCCGGACCCGGTCGAGCTAGTGGGTCATGGGTCAATGGGTCACCCGTTTTAGCCCGATATAGCCCGGTTGAGATGATTCATTACCGGATGCCATTCTCAAAACCTGAAAATCACAAAGTTGTATCAAACCATAGCTATATGAAAGGAAGAAACCAATCTGAAATTCTTTTTCCACATAAACATCAAACAATCCTTTACCAAACAACTTCTTCCCAACATCTTAGACATCAAACAATCGAAACCAAATTCATCTAAAACATCTAAAATAAAAACATCACAATTCTCGTTCTTTCACTATTAATGGAACCAAGTTCCAAACCCAACAAGCCCTGCCTCTTACCAAATGAGTTTGAATTGCAGAGGGAGAACCGTCGATCAGCAAGGACAAGGGTGGAAGGCCGAGCTGCCAACCAGAGATGGATGGTCGAGCTCAACTGGAGGACACCAGAGAAGTCCAGGCTGCTTGAGCGGGAGACAAGGACGAGGTCAAGGGCGTAGGGTTTTCCCCGACCCTGTTCTGCTTCTCGTTCTCGCCATCTCCCAGCTAGAGGTGGCAAATGGATTGGATTGGTGGATTGGAGGATTGGTGGATCCATGGATTGGTGGATTCATGGATTGGATCAATTGGATTGGTGGATTATCCATGAATCCAAATGACATCCTCAACCAAGGACCAATATGTAAAATGTAAAAAGTTGAGGTACTAAAATGTCATAATGAAAAATTTTAGGTACCAAAACGTAATTACCCAATGATATTTTTCGTATAAAAATTTAAATTTTAGGTACTAAAATGTAAAAAATAAAAATTATAGGTACTTAACCGTAATTTTCCAATGATCCATGGATCCAATCCATGAATCCACCAATCCAATTGGATTTGGATAAAATGGATTGGATTTAAATGGATTGGATTAAGTGGATATTTTTAATGGATTGATGGATTGGATTGGTGGATTGGATTGAAAGTGCCACCTCTACTCCCAGCAAAACGGCGACGCAAGTTTCCTGACCGCTTTCTCCCAGCAGAAACGGCGTTGCAGCAGCCAAAAACGTTGGCCTGGACGAGCGACCCGCTGACCCGCTCTAACGAGCTAACCATCCGAGTTTCGCCAGGTTTGACCAGGTTTGACCAAATCCGGGTTGACTATAAAATGGGTTAATATGGCCCGTTTTTTAGGGCGGGTTCGGGCTCCCGCGGGTTGACAACCTTTTGTCCATGACTACAACTGGGGAGCTCTCATGTTGCTCCATTAGACCATCATAGTTGACAGGACTTTTATACGCGTATGTTTATGGTGAAGATTGTGATGATGATCCCATGGCCTGCAGTTCAATTGACGAAAACTTATTCACTTCGACAAATACATGCTCAACAAGATGAAAGCAAGCACATTACCAAACGACATCGAGCTTGTGATTCCTTGAGCACAATGCATTTTCCTGATCAAGGAATGATCCCAAACCACTATAAGATTTGCCTACATACCATGTTTTCCGTCAAACTTGGCCTCCCTAAATCGAAATTTCCTGAGGTGTATTAGAGATAAGTGATATTTTCATTTATTTATTCGTTTCTATAATTTTTCCCACTACACTTTTTGGTTCTTATACCCGGGACGTGCATAGCTGTCTGTTGCTAGTCCTCCTTATTTGTCTTCCCAATCATGTATATTAGTTAGGGATGTTCAAATGGTTACCATGGTTATAACCAAACAAAATAAGGTTAAATTCCATTAACCATGGAATACAATATCATAACCAAACCGTCCAAACTAATACAACAACCAAATTAACCAAACTAAAGTTTAATCGGTTAACCAGATTAACCAATATAAAATCACATTATCATTGACGATGAAAATTTTCCGGTTAATGCAACAATTCATAATTTATATAATGAATAAAAAATAACAATCAACACGTAGTTATAATTGACCCTTAACAAAAATACATGCAACTAAGACAATTATCTTACGATTAGTACAAAAGTATTCACCTAACAAAAAATTATGACAATGGTATGGTTAATGAATTTTTGTGTTTGTGTAAATTGACTTAGTCTCTTAGCAATTATCAAAGGCTGGAAATGACCTTCCTTTCAAGTTTT